GACAAATTGGATGAAGACCTCAAAATAGACAAGGACCATTTACACATCCAAATTCATTACTGAATGCATTCACTGAATCAGCCGTCATAACTAACATCACATTTGTATTTCAATAACATTTTCTGTTACAGTTGACTATACTGTAGCACACTTTCAATGTATCTGACTAAATGCAACATTCTGTTAGAGACTACTGTTGTTTCTTTGATTGCAGAAAGTCCGGCAGAAGCTAATTGAGAGGACAGTCAGTGTTCCTGCTGCACAGCCTTGACACAGTCTTGTACTTCTTCCATGATAATTTCAGTTTGGATTCATATAGGTATGTTCAGAATACACATGTACTGTCCTGTCACATTATGGTGATCTTTTGCCTGTGCAAAAGGTGAAGGAAGACCAGAGTAGAGGGAGAAAGCGAAAATCTTTCACTGCATTCATTTCAAAGTACCACTCAGTACAAAAAACTGTATAATCAATAAATAATAAAATTTCCCCACTTGTTTTGGCCTTTATGCCATTTTAGGCGTGTAAACTGGTGATTAAAAGGAATCTTCACAATTTGATTACTAAGCTTACAGACATTTGGGATTGTGCAGTCGCTACACTGACTGGATACAGGCTGGATGATGGAGGGTTTGAAGTTCAAGTCCTGGTAGGGTCAAGAATTTTCTCTTCTCCACGTTGTCCAGACCAGCTCTGGATCCCACCCAGCCTCCTATCCAATGTGTACTGGTGGCTCTTTCCCGGGGGGGGGGGGGTTAAGTGGCCGAGGCGTGAAGCTGGCCACTCACCTCTAAACAGTGCCAAGGTCAAGAAAATGTGGATCTGTATATCCACTCCCCCATATGCCTTCATGGCATAGTGCTTAATTAGTTAATCAAAGGACAAACTTTACCTTTACACAAATATTTGAAACTTAATCATATATGTGAACATTAAACAAGTACAATGATTATAGATGAAATGTATAAATCAGCTGTCAGTTTTCGTTGTCACTCATGACTTCCACTTGAGGATTTTATGAAAAATTGTGTAAATTAAGTCACCTCCAGAATTAAATAATATCAGTTGTGTTTCTCATTCTTTCTACATTTTTTCTTATGAATAGTTTGAAGATCATGGATGTTAGCCTGTCATTTATTCCTCTTGTGGAATATGCTTGTTAAGTGTACACTGCATACTTTCACAGTCTTGTTTTGCTTCTGTGTTTACCAGAATAACAATTTTATTTCTTCCAAAAAGCAGTTACTAGACTATTCATAAAAGAGTTTATGAAATTGAAATTTCTGATCAAGAATGAAAGAATGATATTTCAGTTTAACGGGTAAATAACTTAAGAATTGGTTACTGATTGCTTGTAAAATCAAAACATTTAATTTTGCATGTCTTTCTCCTTACAGACCATAAGGAGCAACAACTTTAGTAACATACAAGACTGAAATATGAGGAAGGCTGATTTTCATCGGGAGTTAATATTTATGTTATGGGTAAATGTAGCTTGTATATCTTGAGGTCTGAGAAAGTAGTTTTGAATTCAAACATAGTGTATTTATATTGACCTTAATTTTTTGCCTTTTGTGCCTCTAGTTAGTATTTACTTTTGTAAAGCAATGAATTTTCATTCTGACTGAAAGAATATGATGTGATCTTTTCATGATCCCATGCCGAAGACTGTTTATTGTGGAAGAATTGACTTTAAATGGAGCGATATACTTTCGCACATGACCTTTGACATTACGCATTCGATAACCTTGCCATACAGATTCCACTATTTTGAATACAAAAGAATAAATATTGTATTTGTCATGTCATATTCTTATTTTAAATACATTTTCATGTTTTATCATTGGGTACCAACATTTTGAAATATGGGGTTGTTTTTGCTTAAAAGCTCAAGATGTATGTAAGTGTAATGAAGATTTGCAAATTATGGAGTAGTAAAATATTTTATGTCAGGTTGCTGGATCCAGAAGTATGTTCATCCACTCATCATAGATGAATTAACAAGATAATGCAAGTACATTTGTATTTGTATTTATTGTAAGTTGTAAGTATTAAAGAGATTTGCAGATTTGATGTTAACAGCAGTGAGAGGGAGAGGAAAATATGAACTTGACGACATGAAATGTAAGGCCTTCCACCAAAGGCTGTGTACTTTAGCAAACTGTGGTTGTCTGAATGGAGGTGAATATGCACACTTTCCAAACTGGCACAGAGGTATTACAGATCGTCCACTAAACATACATTTATTGGTGTGAAAATGCACAAATAATAGTGAACTGTGAATGATCCTGTCCTGTTGGGATTTTTGTACATTGTGGCTCCTGTCTTTCAACCATGATGAAAGTAAAGAAATTAATTACCTTGATTTGTGAAAGGAAATCCTTGTTGGACCTATGGCACAAGAACTATTGCTTGTGCCATGTGGACAGGGCTGTCTGGAATGATGTGGCACAAGAAATGAATTCCACATGTGAGAAACTGTGTACTTGTAAATTAAACTTCATTTATTTGTATTGCTTATTTTAAAGAGGCAAAGTTCTTTTATATTTTATAGCATCATAATAGTACAGTTGGAAGTGTATATTTCCAAATATTATATTGTCACGTGTAGGATGGTACATGTGACAAGAATGACAGGTTCTACTTCGGATGATTGGATTTATTAGCACCTCGGTTACAACCCCCCTTAATCACACTCAAATACAGGGAATACAGCGCTATAGCTGATGTACACACTTTCCAGTACACATTTGTAAATATGTTTAAAGGGATAGAGATATTGAATTTTCGGACTTTATCCATCGTCCTGGTTTTAAGATAACTAAGAAAAACACGGCGTTTCGGAAACTGGATCACTGGACCAGTGATTGAGGCTAGCTCTTTCTAAGGGACCCAACAGAATAAGTGTTTTCCCTCACCTGAGGACAGAAACAGATCCAGTTTCCGAAACGTCGTGTTTTTCTTAGTTATCTTAAAACCAGGATGATGGATAAAGTCCGAAAACCCAATATCTCTATGTGTTATACACCGTCGTCAGAATCCTGTAGTAACTACATGTTTAAAGGGACCTTGTTCAGACAGTGGTTGTTGCCATATATTTTTTTAAATAGTCTGCTACCGTATGTGACGAAAGATTTTCCACAGTAAAGAAAAATGATTTTCCACTCAAAATTGCAGGTTTACATTGAAGAATAGCTATACAGAGGACAGCAGCAGCAACAACAGAACTATGATAATCAGAAAAATATTCACTAAGTTCACAATCTTCAGGTAGTGTTAAAAAGTTCTTGTATGAGTGTCTGTCCACAAACTCAAACCATGACAAAATTTTATCTTTATATATAAACATAAATATGGGGATGCATTACATTATGTATGGTGTTTTACTTTCATAACAAAATTGACCTCAGAGTTACAGCCATTTGTTAGTCAGGTGTGATGGTGTCAAGAACTGCAAACTCTTGTCAGTGTCAATTGTATTCTGCTATTGCTGTGTTTCACATTTCTTGCAAGAACATTAAAATATGTCACTACATTTTTCAGGTTTTCAAACAAGTGATGATGATCACCCAGGTATTATCTTTTCAACAATATTTCACTCATCCACATTTTTCTTCCTCTACTTTTGGCCATTCTGTGTTTGAAGAGAAAAGAGTTTTATAATAAACACTATTCACACTTCTTTAGAAAGCACCATCTTATCTGACACTGTCTGGATGTGGATGCATTGGACACTTGTCATTGCCTCAGAATGTGCAGTAATGTTTTCATGTGTTGGATGAACCACAGTTTGCACATACACATAGCCAGAGGACAAGAGGCATAAAGCTAGTTCCAGATGAGCTGTATAACAATGTTGGCTGTGATGTTTTGCAAGTTATGCATTTAATTTTGATATGAAGATGAACTGCTTTTCACAGGTTCCAAATAATATCTTAGATTCATGTAATTTTAGTGTGTATAATATTCATTGTATTTCATATATCAGGTAAAGTGATACAATCTAATATGGGCGATAACCTTGCTTCATGTGAAAGAAGATAGAGCAGTTGCTAGATTATGGGACCACAAGTATCCAATATTTTGAAGAGTACAGTTTTCTGGGATTTAATGCTGTGTAGTCATGTAGAAGTCTACTAACTTTGCTCCACAATGTTGGTAAGTTCTGTGACTAGATGACATCACATACCAGAAGATGGTAACATAGTCATGTGTATGAGGTGACTGGATGGGGTTATGGATTTATTGACCACTTCAACACAGCTCATAATTACACTTAATTATAGCACTCTCGCTAATCTCCACACTTTACAAATCACTCAAGCAGACTACTAAGTCTTTTCCAGCCTGCAGTGTTGCCTGGTAACAAGGCTGTCCTGTCTGAATGGCAGCTCCCTTCCAACTGTGGTATTCTTGCACCAGTTGTCCTCCTTATACACTCTTGGCATGCACCATTGTAGAAAACCCCTGTTTCCAACAGTACTTCCATTGAAGAAANCCACATATACACGGTGCCAAATCCCAGAAGACTGCTTTCTTCATAGTCACCGCCGTGAAAGCCTCAAATCTTATATAGTACTTCCATTGTTGCACGTGGACTGTTATGGGAACCTGTTAGCAATCATTTCCAAGAAACAGCTCTACATGCTACAATATTATTTTCCATTTTCTTTGTTGTTTTGGTCCCTTTCCTTACTGAATGCTATATCCCAACACACCTCTTCCAGATTCATTGTATTATTTATTATACACTTCTTATTTAACAAGAAAATGTAGGATTATGCCCGGTTTATAAAACTGAAATTAATGGCTGTGGGGATTCGTTACACTGACTGTGTGACACCCTCTATCTGCTAAAGTTGGCACTAACTTTGCCAATAAGTGGCGGTCACTTGGTCGGTATAGTTTGCTTGTGGACTCAAACCACAATTTTCTTTATGTAGAATTATGCAATCATGCATCCTAATTTTATAATGAAGTGATTGGTTTTCATGAAGCTTAGTTAAGGACATCATGACACTAGACGCTATCCTAGCTTTCTGAGTTTTAATTTTCAGTGCAAAGAAAATTGCTGATTGAGTAAAGCAATTTTATTTTGTTACTTTTATTGGCTTTATGGTAATGTTATTAGTTACCTATGCTATTTACCATTCAAAATGACCTGCACAATTAATGCACAATCTTGTTTGTTTTACAACAGAATTTGTTGCCTTCTCTATTCCCTCATGTCTGTATGCAAGCATCAGCTACCATGATTTGTAGCAAGTGTTTCATCTCTTGTCTTTGATTCCTCTTGGTAACCATACTCCATATATCCCCAGAAGTCAAGGGGAGTCAGGTCTGTGGTTCTCCACAACCAATCCAATGATATACACAGCAGCATTAAAATATTCTTGTATTTATTAACCAAAATGAGTTGGGGTGCTACCCCACTGAAGTCACACAATCTGATTTGGAAATGAATTTCTTCTGAAAGACATGAAAGCTCAATTTGTAAGAAATAAAGATGCTGCTTCTGTGATATTTGATACAGAAAGAATTTCAACATCATGTAAAGTAGAGATTATTATTGATTGCCATGGACCAAAATAAACTTGCCCAATGTTTACTGTAACCCTTTAATGCTAAATCTATTTGAAATCTGTCTATTACAGGGAAATGTTTGAAAGTATGGGCTTAGTGGAAAATTGGTGCTGCTCCTATTGCTTCAGGTTGACTGATAATGCACAATTTTGCTTCATGGTTGTGCACCTAGAAAAAACTTAATATAGCTTTAAAGGTGAAGCATATGGACAGGCATGGCCTCCCATTATGTGTTCACTTTGTGCATTCTCTACAAGTCTGATCCTTAAAAGTTACCACAACCAATACATTGAGACTTCTGTTATGCATAAATATTGTGATCATGAATTTTATTATTTTATTACTTTAATTAAAATGTCATATACAAACTGGTGAGCTACTGTAAGTAGTTATTAATATTTTTTACAAGAACAATAAATGAAATGCTGAACTAATTTTCAGATGTTTTTGTTTCCTTGGTGGCAATGTAAGTTAGAAGATCAGTAAGCCCTTCAAACTCGGTTCTTCCTTGAGGTGGGTCATTCTTCGGTATCCGAGGTAGTGCTGAACCAACTTTCATTCGGAATTCTTTCATCTGAAAAACAAACAGGAATTTGTAACATATTTGTTACAGCCAATATATTGAGACTACAGAAATAGGTAATTTAAACAAGATACTGGAATTGAATGACTGAGTACTGGTTAATTTGATATGGCACCCTTAAACATATCTGGAGGTACCAGGATTAATATCAGCTGAGCTACAGCCTATCCCGACACACTGTAGTTCCTCACATTATCTATACAAATGTGTTTGTTAGGTTAGCTTAGTTTGATTCATGCCATTTTAAATCAACATGACGTTGCCTTACTTCATTTCTGTTTAGACCACTAATTTATATTGTCTAGTAATATCTCTGTATGTCACACTACAACATACTGAACATCAATGGTTAATACTAATTACTTGGGCTGTCCCTGGTTTCATTTTTGGATGTAAGATGAAGCTAGGTTTTGTAGATTTCCCTTCAGGCACATGCTAGGACAAAGCCTTAAAAGAAGCAATGATTTACAATATATCCTCAACTTATTCACAGTCATTCCCCCAATTCTAAGAACACCTATGTGGTCTAATGGTCAAAGTTCCTGGCTACAGATCCAGAGGTCCCGGATTACATTCCTGGCACTACCAGATTTTCTGAGAAGTAGCGGGTCTGGAATGGGGTCCATTGAGCCTCATGAGGATAATTGAGTAGTTACTTGAATGTAAAAGTAGCAGCTCTGGTCTAGAAAACTGGAATTAATGGCCATGGGGATGCGTTGTGCTGACAACACGACACCCTCTATCCGCTAAAGTTGGCACTAACTTCACCGACAGGCGGTGGTTGCTCGGTCAGTATAGTTTGCTTGTGGACTAAAATCACAGAGTTTGTTTTTTCCCCCATTCAAAGCTCTACAACCTATCCAGCTGTGACATCATTATTAAATGAATGTAAAACAGTAAAAAACATGCATCCCGCAAGTGAAGAGATTAACTGTTGGTGAAGTACTGGTTATGATGAGTACTCCTTCATTTCAAAACGAATAAGTTTCATTATTTACTTCAATTTTAGCCCATTTTACTTCCAATGAGCGATTTTTTTTTGCATTATTCATCCTAATGTTTATTTAAAATGACATTTTGGAAACTGGACTGTGTTTACCCTCAGCTAATAAGCCCACTCTGTTGGGTCCAATCAATATATCATGGTCCACAGACAGGGGCTAGCTCTACTGACTGGACCCAACATATTAGCCTCTTTACCTGAAGATGGAGAAAGAATCCAGTCTCAAAAACGTTATTTTAAAGAAGAATTAAGATAGTTGATAATGTATAAACAAAATCAATCATTAATATAGCATCATCCTCTTTCAAATCTTGCCCACTTTTCTTCCTTAACAGGAAAGAAAGCAGGATCATGAGTTCCTCATTCTACACGTATTTTTTTTTTTTAATTTAAAATGTATTTATCTTCCCCAGTTCAACTTTGAACTAGCTGACCAATTTCATCATATGAATGTTATGCCATTGGAAGCCATTCCATTTCCTACTATCAGTAATAACAGCATTGCAGATACTCTGACTTGGGAAGCAGCAGTAACATTAGTTCCACTTAACTGTAAGATCCTGAAGTGATGTATGGAAAAATGTGCAATTTGTTAACATACTATTTTCATAGAATGTAAAACAACATGGTGGCCACAGAATAATTTTCTGTAGCTTTAGGCTTGGTAGAGAGATCATAAACGTATCTACACATTATTTATGAAGTGGTGTTTATAGGTCAACAATTACAGACATGGCAAAACTAACACAGTAACAGAGTAACAGATCCATTAATTTAGAATTATGTGTATGCTTTGTAAGTTCTGTCTGGAACCTCTTGTTAAATGTGATTTGCACTGTTCTTCAACAAAAAAGAAAAAGTTTCTTGAGTTGTAAACATTCATCATACATCAACCATAATTTCTAAATAGACTTTACTACAAAATGGGTGGGGCATCCAGCAGACTGATTTTCATGATGATTTCATGGGGTATACAATAAATGATTGTCCCTGTGTGGTACTCACATCATTCACTCCTGCCAATTTCCAGATAGAGAAGAAGAGAACAGTGCATCCAACAACAGCATACAGAGTTCCCCAGCCCAGTGCTCTCATTGCAAGTGAAGCCCCTGTCTCACTCATTTCTCGGGTACCTGCTAGACCTCTGCTAAAGAAAGCTGGATCCTTCTTTTTTACTGAAGCCACAGTAGTTCCAAAACCCACGAAAGCCGATATTCCCGCAACAGATGCAAGGAAAATACCAGCTGAAAAAAAATTGTCATCTCAAAAGTTACTGAATTTGTATGGTGTTAAGGAGCAGAGATCAGCTTTAATTTGATTTTCATTAGCTCCATGGAATGCACTGAAGAAGTGGACATCTTGACAGGTAAAACAGTTGAAAATAGTAGGAGTAAGTATATTGGACTTGAGAGGGAAAAAAGATAGCTGGCATGACATTATTTTCGGTCAGCTTTCATTGTAGTTCATGTGATTGAAAAGTCTGAAACCTTCTCTTACACCTCCCTTCTGTCCTCATATACCTTTCAGTGCCTGTTCTCAGCATTGTTCATTTGTACACACACAGATCCAAATCAAGTTCTTCGCTGTCAAAATAGACAGACTGCATATTCTCTGTGACTGGTATACTGTAGTGAAAATGACTAAATGAAAAACATATGGTCATTATGGAGGGTAAGTACTCTTCATATGAAGTATCTTACTAACGTACAATTTAAGAAAATGCCAATGAATTTTTTCCCATGTATTTCAATTGTGGGAACTGCCCTATTCTAGTAAATGTGACAACGCAAGTATCATTGGTTAGCAACGGCGAGTAAACAGCTGTTGCTAAATTGCATAGTAAGTTGCCTGACAAAATAAAAAACTCAGTGGGTTTTTCAGTTTTTAAAAGAGACTTAAAATCCTTTTTATTGAAACATTCCTTTTACACGATAAATGAATTCGTTAGTTTTAAATAAAAAGATGGATGGTGAAATTACTCATATTTGGATGTCATAGCAAATCATAAGTTGTATACAATGATTTGTGTATTTTGTTCTTTTTTCTTGTTCAAATGTAGTATCTACATATTGCTTAGGATTGTAAAATGTTGTTAGTATCCTTGTAACTTGGTAGGTTTGTTTGTTAAGTTGTACTCCTGGATAAATCAATCAATTAATCAATCAATATAGTTCGTAGTATGCTTGTAACTATGTAGATTTATTTTGTTAACTTATATTACTGAATGACGTGTCCAAATGTTACTATGTAGCAAAATGGATGAAAATAAAATACAATACAATACAATACAGGCAGTGATGTGTTTTCTATGCAGTCCGACGCAGTGTTGTATATGAGGAAGATATAGCGATAACTCATACAGAGTGGTGGGCATGTTCTGATGTATTATGAGGTCGAACATGTTACGTTGGCTATTACTTTCTTTTGTGTGTTCTTTTTCTTCTATCAATTTATTTACCTTCATGATGCCTCTATTTTTTGGCTTTTCAATCATTTCCATGATTACTGTCATCGGCCCGTACTGATGGTGTTTATTTAGTATGTGTTGGGCAAATGCTGATTCGTCCTTCTTTAGTCTTATGTTTCTTATGTGTTCTTTGTATCTTGTTAGATTTCTACCAGTTTGGCCGATGTATACATTTTGGCAACTTTGGCATGTTATTTCCTATATCCCACTTTGTTCGTAGGGGTTTATTTCTCGTTTTTCATTTATTAGTTTACCTATTGTGTTGGCTGTTTTGAAGGCTATCTTTATGTTAGTGTTTTCGAATAGTTCTGTGATTTTTCATATGTAATTTCCTGTATAAGTAGAAGTGACACTTTTTGTTCCTTTTCGTCATTATTATCCGGGTTAACCATCTTTCGCTTAAGTTTGTTACATAGATGTGTGATGTCTTCCTTCCTATAGCAATTATTTAGTGTTATATTAATAATAGTAATTAATTCTTTGTTTTTAGCATTTTCCTCAAGGGATAGTGTAAGAAGTCTGTGTATCCAATTTCTATATATTGGCAATTTTTGTTCTTTAGGGTGGCATGATTTATTATTTATTGTTATGTCTGTCGTGGGTTTTCTGTATATTTCCATTTCTATTTGTCCGTGTCTATTAAATATATTTAAGTCCAGGTAAGCTAAATTTTTTAAACACTTTAAAAGTTTTAATACCAGGAAGGCTGCTGTGATTGTGAAAAGTTCAATATTGTGTACACTGTGTATTTCAGGCATTATATGTGTATGTAATTTAGCAATCTGAACACCTATTGTGATGGTGGTTTCCGAATTAGTATTGATGTTCCCTCTGAAGATGATCCGTAAGTTTGTGTGTGTGTGCACCTCTCTCTCTGTCTGTCTCTCTCTCTCTCTCTCTCAAGTCTCGATTCTGAGACAGTAAAATATGGTCACGAGTCCCAAGGGACTCGGACCCGAGAAAAACTGCGCTGGCAAGAGCCAGCAGCATATACAAAAGACAGACCCATCCTCTTGTCAGAGAAGGCGCCCCACAGAAACAAGACCGTAACTGTCAAACGATAATAATTAATATGTGGTCATGAGGCCCCAAATGGGGCTCGACACCAAGACTTACTGACTGACTGACCGTCAGTCTCAATGTAACTCTAACTCTGACTCTGACTCTAACTAACTCATACACCCCTGTGTGGAGGTGGGGTAGAATACCTCCACTGTGACCCTGCGAGTCGTAGGAGGCGATGAAAAGGGAAGTCTCAAATGAGAGACAGTAAAATATGGTCGCAAGTCCCAAGAGACTAGGACCCTTGAAACACTGTGCTTGCAAGGGCCAGCAGCATATACAAGAGATAGACCCATCCTCTCCTCAGAGGGGGCGCCCCACAGAAACAAGTCCGTAACTGTCAAGGAGTAATAAATATCTGGTCATAAGCCCCAGGAGGGTGCTCGATACCAAGAATTACTGACTGGCTGATCGTCAGTTGTAATATGACTTTGAATTAAGTCATACAAAATCATAATAAGGAACATGTTCATTGCATAGGACAAGGTGAAGCCATACACAGAAAACATAAGAGGCTTAAACTTGGCGGTGGTCAAGCTTATGACCGTTCAAATGACTAAGTTTTCATTGTAGCATAAGATCTGTAAGTTAGGCATGATCTGCTCTGTAAAGCCTGTACCGACAGAGAACTTGTGTGTAAAGCAAAAGGAAGAGTTTTCGATAACATATTATATGTGCGAAATATACACTTGACGAAAGGTCAAATGTATTCATAAGAGACAGACCCATCTTGTCGTCAGAGAGGATGTTACATAAGGGCTATTACCGCAAGAGTTCAGTTGGAAAAATAAAATCTCTGGTCGTGGGCCTCAAGGGGCCTGATGCCAAGACGAACTGATTGGCGGTAAACCGCCAGCCGTAAAGTAATCCTGACTCTATAAAGAAGAGTGGTGTGGGTGTTGGTAGCAGTAATATTGAATTGAATTTATTTACATTCTATAAATCCTAAGTAGGTTAGTACCTTTGGATACAGAACAAGTCAAAAGGTTACATACATAAGTACAGGCAATTTTAGCTTAAAAATTAATATAACTTAATTTTACATCATTCTCTATTTACATTGAAGTAT